TTAACGTGACCACGTCTTTCTATATACAATGTGTGGACAATGGGTTTGATGTTAAAAAATGCCATTATTTTAATTTGACCCTCTGTATGATAAAATAATATACAATCATCTTATATTCCATACTCTCATATTTACTTAACTGCTATTACTATACTCATCCACCATTGCATAACTGTTATTACCATGCTTATCCGCTATTACTATGTTCATCCCAAATCTTCCCAACTTCAATAACCCAAAAAAAAGGAAATCCTAGTGCTTTGCAATTAAATTTTTTTAATTGCAATTGATACGTTATTTTAATTGCAATTGATCCGTTAAAATTGGCATATTTAATAAATTCAATACATAAATTGATGTAATTAGCACAACTTAATTAACGAAATTAGTGTTATTTGTTTAATGCAATTTACTTTATTACGCAAGTGAGTTGATAATTAGTTTATGTTATTTAGTATATGATTAGTTTAATTAGTTTAGTGATTTAATTAGTTGAACGAATTAATTTTAAGAGGTTCGATTAAATGAATTTAGATGTATTTGACGAGGCATATATTGAGTTTTGATTAAGATAGCCATTTAGTCGGGGCAATTTAAATATTTGAAATACTAGTTGCATGTAATAAATTAAATACATAAAATTAATGTAATTAGCATAGCTTAATTTTGAAACTAGTGATATTAGTTTAATGCAATTCACTTTATTATGCAAGTCAGTTGATAATTATGGTGGTGGTGAAATAAAGTTGATAATTAGTTTATGGTGGTGCTGAAAAATCAAGACTGGCAAATGAGAATGCAAACTTGGCCAGGGAAAACCGGTGCCTCCACCAGCTAGTAGAGCAATTCACTATATGGAAAGGTGCTGAAATATTAGTGAGATAAAATCAATGGATGAAATACTAGTAGTAGTAAGTAGTAATTGAATATTTTCAACCCTTTTCCCTTAAGAATCGATCTAGCAGGTTTTGTGCAAATTTTTTTTATAAAGTCCCTGGCTGCCGGGCCTTGTCAGCCCAGCAGCCAGGCACTTTAAAAAAAAATTTCCGCTGCCGGGCTGTGTCAGAACTTAAAAAAAAAAATTTACCTTTTTGGTTGCCGGGCTGACACAGCCCGGTAACCATAAATTTGCAGCATCCCTTGTCAGAGCCATAAACGTCCGACTTTTCTTTTTATAACGATATTCTGAGTAATTAGCCGGACACATCTTACTTATAATAAGATTAGGAGCTCACGGGTTGAATTCTATAAATTCAAATTGATTTATATAATTTTTATTACATTTAGTGTAATATTGTAGTGAATTGGTATAACTATCAATTTAATTGTATCAGTTGATAGATTTAAATTTACTTTTACTAACTTTTATAAATTTACATGAAAAATTATAAAAGTTACTCTATAGAATCGATTCGAATCGGACAGAATCAACCTTGTGAAAGCTTTCTCAAATCGGAGATGTGACAGCATCTACTCCTCTGCAGTCTCTCTTTCCAATTTCCACATTCCTCGTGCCTCCAATTTTCACCCATATCAATGACTTACCTATTGGGTTCAACGTATAATTATAGCAGCGTGTGCTGCTAACATAAAAAAGTGCTGAAACTGAATTCATTCAGACATTCAGATGTTGTAGATGTTTGATAAATAAAAATTCACCTGCTGAACTAATTAAGTGGTGTTGAATTTGTATGTATTTTTTCATCACAAGAATCGTAACTGAATGCTTAATTTGATAAGAATCAAGAGATTTATTTCAACTACTTTATCTTATCTACCAAATATATCTCTGTTTGTTAATTACATTCAAAATCCTTATCTAATTAACAACCTAATATTCCCTATTCAAAATCCTTATCTAATTAAACAAAACAACCTAATATTCTCTATTCAAAATTTTTTTTTTAACAATAGTATTTTTTTTGCAGTAATTTTCATCCACAAATTTATATTTTGATATATATTTTTTTTGTGCAGATAAATATTATTTATGTGATGCAGTTTATCTACACACACGTGACTTTATAACACCATATCAAAATATTAAATATTGGTTGTCTGATTTTCGAAATGCTTCTCGTCCAAGATCAAAAGAAGAACGTTTTAACCAAGCACATGCAAGATTGAGAAATGTAATTGAACGTGCTTTTGGAGTATTAAAAGTTCATTTTCCCATTCTCAAAACGATGAAACCATACCCTTTTCCCACACAAAAAAAACATTGTCATTGTATGCATTGCTCTTCACAATCATTGTCATTTTCATACTTAACAATTTTAAGTTAATTAAATCATAAGTTCTATTTCCTTTTTGGATTAAAAGATAGAATGGCAAAATTGTACAATTTAGCTTATTAAGCATTAAGTTATGAATATTTATCAAACAGTATAAATAGATTCAGCATTAAGATTCAGATATTCATATATCTCTTTTTAGTGCTTAAAATTCAGCAAATTAATTATTTCAGTATTCAGAATTCAGATTCAGTGTTATCAAACGGAGCCATAACCTCAATGCTTATTCCAAAGAACAAGTTTGTGCAATGAAATCTGTCTCCACATTCGACAAGCCCATTGCGAGACAAACATGAATTACTAATTAGCTTCTGTAGTCCCTAGCTAATTAACTGGTGTCTATGTCGTTGCTTGCCTCCACAAGAATCCTTCTCATTTCGCCGATCAGCTCATGCATTTGATCCCTGGAGTGCAAAGGCGATGGATACACACATGCACAGTCCAGTTGTCCGTCTCTTATGGTATCAAATAATGCAATTGAAGGGCCTACCCGTGAGACGAGGCGCAACCGACGTAGTCTTCCAATCCAACCCTTTGGTGGAGCTGGTTAGAATGATCGATGACAGGGTCCTCAAAAACGGATATCAGGGCAGTTCTCAAGGATGAAGACGGAGTCAAACCCGGGTTTTCCATGGCCTTGCACATTAGAAAGTTGACGTCGGACATGTCTGAGAAGTGCTTATTGTTGTTTTTAGCATTGTTATAGGATGCGTGGGTTCTCTCCGCCAGCTCCCACAAATTCTCTCCGCCCTTAATGTCGTGCGAGTTTAAGATGGCAGAATGATAAAACCCTGCAACCGTCGTGTAGCCCGCAGCCGGTCAAGTACAAACCATGAAAATATGCTAGAGGCAAGGAAATATAGTTGTACTAACAAGCTTGCCACTGAAACAAGCGGTGGAATTGATTGTACCAAAGTTTGGCATATGTATATACAAGGTTACCGATTCAAGTTCAACATTTCGGTAATCATTTTAGACAATTTTGCTAGGATCTGTAGCAGATAATAATTAATATACCATGGCAACGACCCCAAACTCTAACCAAGATTGTGTACTGATTAGCAATGGCAGACCCAGGAAGGAAGGTTTAAAGGGGGAAAACATAGAATCGACAAGCATAAGAATTTGGAGAAAGAAATTCAATTTTTTTTTAAAAAAAAAAAAAAGAAAAAAGAATTTGAGGGGGCAAAGCTAATTTTGTTAAGAATCTGCTTATAAAAAGTAATGTTGGGATGTATTTAAAAAAAAAAAGGATAATTTCAGAAACCTCCCCTGAAATTTCTAATAATTTCAGACATCTCCCCTCACGTTTTTAAAAATTACACATACCTCCCCTAGAACATAAGTTTGGATTTTACCTTGATGATGTAAGACCAAAGAAAGTATATGAACGCCCAAAATTACCCTCATCTAACTTTCAAAATATGAATAATCATTAAAAAATTTTAAAAATCAAGAATACACTTGTATACTGCAAAATTATGAGTTTTATTAATTAGTTAATGTCCTGAGCTTTCCATCATGATTTTCTATATCCATCCAAAATTTCAAACTCGTCACTTATTCTTTTTCCGAACAAACTCTTTATTTTAGATGCCAAAATCCACCATCATAATTCTTACCTTTATAATTTTTACCTCTTTATAGGTTTCTTCCGTATATTGCCTACCAAACCGTCAGTTACAAAACACACAACTCTTACCCTTTTCCCACTCAAACAGCCAAGATTCTTCCTTTTTTGAGTGATAGAAGGTTATAATTTAATGGCCATGGATGAAACGGTTTCGTCACAATATGCGGCTTGGTCAAGAAGAATTGTTTTCCTTTTTTTGTTATCTTTTTTATCAATAGCCTATCTTTGAAAAAATTATGAAGGTTATAATAGTCATTGTCTATCATCAAGGGTGGTAAGTATAATATTGAAAATCTCAAGGCAGCTCAATGAAATTTTTAGAGATCTCAGGGGAGGTTTCTAAAATTATCCCTTGTCTGTAACATTTTTGTTGTACTACTTTTCAAATATCTTCTTACTACTAATTTAAAGGACTTCGACGTGTGATAGAAGGGTTACTCAAGTATTAAATTTAAACCCGTAAGCGTGCATGTCATCATTTCCTAATATAGCACATTAAAAACAAGCAGGTCAAATTGCTATACACAACGCCAATATGCCGTACGTGCACGACCGGTATTTGCCCATTTGGTACCAATTGCCAGGCTATACAAAATGTCACTATTGCAGATTGATAAAGAGAAAGAGGTTTTATGACAAGCAAGAAAAAAAAAGAATAAATAATATTGCCAGGAGGAAGAGATTTTATAAGGGAAGGAAAAAAAAAAAGAAGAAGAAATAAAGAACGATGTGGCCTAAGCATCCCGATTTAGTAAGCGAAGAACGGTCCCCCCAAAGGGAGAATTTGAAAAGAGAAAAGCAAAACTGGAACAAATTGCCTTTTTCTCCTGGATGCGGTGGAAATTTTGGCACCCAAAGGAAAAAAAAAAAAGGAGAGAAAGGAAAAAGCATAACTAACCGTGATCGTTGTTTTCAAGTACTGGATCCAGAAGTGAACGACAGTCAATAAGTGTGACCACTGCGTACTTTTCCCAGTGATCGTCTGGAAAGCATTTTGCGGAATGGGCAGCAATTAGGGCAGCAGACGCCAACAGCCCGCACAATTTTATGTTCCTAGCTTGGCATCCCTGCAAGGTTAGGCGGGCCCTTATTTTTTTTTCACGTCAAGAGTGGTAGCTTCCCTACTCCCTAGTACTCAAAATCCACTAGTCCAAACCATCACAGACTCCTGTCCTGTTGTTTGGTGAATAATGAACCCATTTACGTAAAAGTTTAACCGCAGCTTTAATTTTACTTACAAAATTCTTACAGTAAGAATTTTTGTTTTTCTTGGGGCGGGTTGGGTGCCGGGGGGAATACTGTTCTCCCTCGTCCGCGACACTAAAAGGTATTCTTCTTCTCTTTTTTTGGGCCAAGTAAGATATTCTTCTTTGAAGGTGAAAATCGCTTCTCTGACACCTAATCCAATGCCAGTTTGGCAGCCAGTCAGTTTGGTCCGGCAAATTGCAAGGCGCAAAGGTAATTGGTAATCCACTCAAATGGTGTTCCTACAACTTATTTGCTTGTTTTCAGTCAAACGAAATACGATTAATTTATGCCAATATATACAAGATTAATTTCAGCTTTTTGGGATGCATCAGTTCTAAATATTTTCCTATAAATGCTTATCTAATTCCTCGTGAATGAGCGAAGAAGGAATCTCTCTAATTTCTATCCAAGCATAGTGACAAAAAAAAAAAAAAAAAAAAGGGATGCAGCGAATTCAGCAATTTAAGAATATTCCCTGTAGCATAAAAATTTGGGGAAATTTAGGATGGATGGAAAATAAACTGTGGTTTGAGTGACTTACAGAGATGAGTTTTTGAGTGGCATCCGCATTGATTTGCAACCTTATGACCTGTGAAGATCTGGGCAAGCCAGTGTCCTGGAATGTTAAATTTGACAGCCTGAATGAGTTCAACGAGTATCCAAGCATGTCCACTCCCCTGGCCCAAAATGGCTTATTACCCTTCCCGCTCGGCACGTAGTCTTCGATCCCCAATCTAACCTCCAATAATTCCTCGTCAATTTCCTTTTGCGTCCCTTCCCCGTTGTCCGCAGACATCTGCTTCAGCAACTCCCTCAGCAGTGACACCGCGGTGGTACGGTCGCATACCGACGTGTGCAGCCGGAGGGCCACGACCCACTTGGCATCGCTCAAAGTGTACACGCTGGCAAAGAATAGATCCGCATCATCAGCTTCCGATGAAGGGTCGGGATTTGGCCAGACGATTCGATTTAGCTCGTGCTCGAGGATCAGGTGGAAGTCTGTGGTGGAGAAGGTGGTACTGTTTGAACGAATGAGTCCTCGGAGAATCTCAGACGCCGATGCAAGATCGAACGGTTGGATTTGGAGCTGAGGAGTTGCGGGATGATGTAGGAGTAAGTGGTGGAAGTGGAGTCGTAGTGGAGTTTTGATTTGAGGATGGGATGGGTGTTTTGGAGGTTGCGGAGGGTAGTTTGGAGAAACGGGACATCTGGGCTTTTGAGAGGAGTAGAGCCAAAACCGTGATGCCGGTGCCGCCTGGAACGGCTTTGCACCAACTTTGCTCCGTGCCGCCGGCCGGGCGGCTCTTGGGTTCAAGTACTCGTGGCATTGGGCTGCTAAGGCTCTCCTGCTCGGACATTGATGCTTCTGTTTTGAGTAGAAATTCAAGACTCTTTCAGCAGCAGCAGCAGCAGTACACTAGCACTATATATATATATATCTGTTAAAGAGCGAGGGATGATGCTTTGGTGCAAAAAGAAACCTCGAAGCTGTGTCACACTCGAGTCTGGACAAAGGATGAAAGATTTCTCAACTACCTCACAAGATAGATTAAATGGATAACTCGCAGAAATTAGCCTCTAGCCATCGCAAGGATAAGACAAATCAGTGCCCTCTGATTTATCATTATCATCTGTAAAAGAGCGATTAATTGATGATGTAAAGGAAGCAAACCAGAGAGGATCAGAGGAGAATGAATATTCAGGTGAGGTTCTCACGTTTATCTTGGTATTGTGGGGGCTCCTGATGGCCTTATGTGTTGCAACTAGCAAATTTTGGAGACGATTAATTGATTAAAATGGGAATTAGTCTTGTTTCTTCCGTATATTTGACCGCTATCTCGATCAGAAACAGATGTGTGGCTGCAATTTTGCAGTAAGAGCGTGCAGTGATGGTAGTGTCAAAAATATTCAAGGATTTAGCTAATGAATGCGCCGGAGACTTCCTAAAGCAGTTTCAAGTGTTTTTTTTTTTTTTTTTTTTTTTGTGAGGGTAAAATTAATTGTGAAAAAGTATATAAGAAAGCGATAGATGTAAATATGTGTATTCACGTGATAAGTTAAGTTAGTGTAGTTTACGCATTTTCAATCTGTGCATCTAGGTTTTTGTTGAAAAAATCCAACATACAAAGCAACTAATTTTCTTTTTAAGAAAGTCAAGCTATAATCACGACTTCATCATAGCGCTGTACTTCCAAATTTGCTAAACCACAGCAACTGTCCTGTGAAAACACGTCTATCCGTGAAATGATTCTTGCTCATCCATTTAAGCCCTTTCAACTGTGGTTATACACACATGTTACCAGAAATTTCCTTTTTTCATGGTACTTTGAAATTTCTATTGAGAAATTCGAGTCTGATAAGCTTTTGAAACTAAACACTTTATCACGCTGTTGGCATTACATGCTTAGACATGAAGAAATTGTACACTTTTTTTTCTATAAAAGTAAAACATTATTGTTCGCGAAACAAAAGACAAATTAATAACTGAAAACAATTATGATGCTTTTTACACATTTAATCAAAATGCAGAATCATGTTTTATGGTGCGTTTGATAAAACTGAAGTTTGAAAACTGAAATCTGAATCTATTATGTTGTTGAATTGTTAAGTATTAAATCTAATACATTTGAGTGCATATCATATTCAGTGATAAGTGAATAGTTTATCACTTAATTTTGAGTGCAAACTTTGCCTATGAAATTTAGTGTCACTTAATTAATTCATATGTTCAATTTTTGGTTATCAAACGATCTGAAGATCTGAATCCATTGAATTTAAGTGCCGAATTGAATTATCAAACAGGGCTAGCTAATCTAGAAAATTATGTACTAATAGACAAGTTTTCTTTATAACACACCAACATTAGTCATACGAGTGTGAATTTAGGCCACAAAGGTATGGATTTGGCATCACTCTTGTGAAAAATTATGGGAACTAGCAAAAGTTCATTTGAGTTGCCTGTTTCATTTCAGTGTAGTAATTTAATCAAAAAAGTTAGGTAGTCCCTAGTGAACCACTAGAAACCAAGTCAAAATTCCACTGCCAGGAATTCAGGTGAGGGACTAAAGTATACACTAAAATTTATTTGGTATTCAATGCAAAAACAAGAATAAAGTGTTTATGCTATCATGCCTTTTTTTTCTGTACTGTTGTCCATTATGCAGAAAACATCTATCGGAGTTGAACAGAGTTTTAAGTATTGTGATCTCACACTCTTACAATTCACTCGAGGTTAAATCTGTATCATTTCCATACGGATAATTACAGCGCGGTAGTGCAGCAAAGGAGAAGTTCCATCGAGTCCCTTGCGTCGAAGTAGGCTGAATAATCCTTAATTGTGGTTTCCCGGTACTTGGGTAGTTGGGTGGATCATTTTCTGAGAGCAACTCCTTAATAGGTCCGTGAGCTTTGTAGATGGCCGGAGATATGTGGTAAAGAAGGATGCCACTGATACCCTGGGACCAACACGACTGGCTAGTACTCGATGCCGAGCACTGAGGAACTTGTCGTTGGACACCAGCTGAGAAGTTCAATCAGATCAGAAATGGTTAGTGCTATTTGAATTCGTTTCTGCTGACTGCTGAGTGCAGGGGACGATTAAAGTCAATAAACTAGTATAGATTACAACAAGCGTGACCTTGCCTGCAGAAGGTCCCCAATATTGACTACAAGAGCTCCAGGTGTTGGAGGAAACATCGATCCACTGGTTCCCGTAAAGAACCTGAAGACCTCCTACATGATCCTGGAGAAGCACAGTGAGAAAGTCATCGTCTTCATGTTTGCTGGCGCCTAATGTCAATTCTGGTTGTGGGCATGCTGGATAGTAATGGCACAAAACAATAAGCCCCTCCGCACAATCCATGTCCTTCAGATGATTTGGATCAAGTCCAAGAGCCTCCGAGAGTAATTCAAACAGAGAATATCCCAATTTCGTTACTTCCTCTGAGTGCTTGAGTAAAATTTCACTGCAACCCAAGGATAAAGGGCAAAAAGAAAACACACACCAATAAAGTTTATGAAGATCTAGAACGTAGCAGAACGAAGCTAAAATTGAAAAAATGCTACCAACAGGATCTGAAAACCTGCAGGTATCTCAAGTAGTCGTAATCTGAATCTTGTAGAATGACGTACCTGCAGACTGAAGGCAAGTCTTCAGGACTAGGAGGATTAGGAGCCATGGCGCAGGTTAATGTATCTCTCCAGTTAGTTACTGGTGCACTGTACAAGTCAAAATTGCTATCGTACACGACTCTTCTTGATCCGGGCTCTCTTGTGCACCATGGCTTTTTGACTTCAGTATCTTGCTCGTAGAATCTGCGTACACCATTTAGCATCTTCTCAAGAACATCATCAGGGATCCCATGATTGATCACTTGAAGAAACCCCATGTTCCTGATGCTTCACGGACTTTTTCAACCGTCTCCTTCCGCTGGGCCGCATCTTCGTGGATGCCATGTAAGTCAATGACCGGAAACTCATGCTGCTCGCTATTGGAATTACTAGAAGCATTCAAGTCCTCTGGTGGTCCAATGAACATTCGAGGGACTTCCGTGATGCCAGCATCAACAAGTCCCTTAACACCAGCTTTGGTGTCATCAAACGCTTTTATTTCACGCTTCCTGTCGTACTCTGCTTCAGTTTCATGGTTAACATCATTTCTCTCAGAAGCGACCATTTTCTGCCCGCAAGGAAATCAGTGATCTCGTTCTGAGCAAGGTTAAAGTCTTGGTTATACACAAAGTTTTCTTGTTCAGAGAAGCCTTGGTGGATATGAATATCCATAACGGGACATGCATTTTTTCAATAAGACAAACGATGACGCATTCTGGCCGATTTGGGTTCCGCATGTGCTGTGGTTGAAAAGTGCTTGTCAATTACGAATGCTAACACCATCCTTGGAACGACAAGTAGCGAACGATAAAGCGATTTTCTAGATGAATGAAGAAGTAATCGCAGTTAAGAAATCCGAGTTAAATTAAGGCCTAGAAAACAACAAATTCTCGGGTTATAAATAAAAAATTCTTTTAGCTACACCATCTACCAACCTAGAAATATAGATTTCTTGTTGGATGTCCACAATTTTCACAGCCTAGAAACTGATCCAAATAGTTGGAATAATACTCGAAACTTCAAGCTACTTCTCTTGAAAATGGATTTGTTCGTGGAAGCAAACGTGCAAAAGGCTGGCTTGATGTTTTTAACTCTTTGTTTATCCGATGTTTCTTACCGGGCAGGCCTTCGGTTCAGTGTCTATTTCTGATACAAGGGAGATCAATAGAATAAATCATACAAGACACACACATCTTATACGTACGAATGGCAATTACATAAATTTGGCTATGCAACCCTGTGCAATATATGTAGCTATGCTGCAAGCGATTCATGTTAACACTTGCTCGCTCTCTTTGTAACTAATCATTTTCGAGGGAAGTTTAGAAGA